TCTGACACGCAAAGTTGGATGCAATTTGATTTTTAGCTTCCTATTGTAGACAGCTTGTGATTCTTACTTAGATGAAATGCCAAGCAATTTCTGAGTTTCTGATATGTGAATTTGGAACTAATACCCAAAAAAAATTAATCATGCTTGTCTTCTTTTTATTATAATCAAGAATTAATTACCCTAAACCGAGAAATAATATATCCAAATATTTTATCAAGTGGGATTAATTTTCAGATTAAAGTACATTGACATGCACTTTCGGTTATGTGGGATATATGATCAATGTTGGATTTAGCTGGTCTACCCGTTAATTTGTCCTAATAAAACCAAATGCCAAGAATCTTAATTTAATATTCAGGTAAAATCTTTTTAAAAAAATTTTAAGTTTCGAACGGTATTTAAGTAAAAATCATATCCAACATTGATGACTTCAAGTTTTAAATCTCTCGATCATCTCACAACGGAGGAACACAACTTTTCATGCAATGGTTAAAACTAAGCTAATTAGGATTTCGCTTGTAAATAGATTAAACCCTAATTGTGAAAAAAAGGGAACCCTAATTAATAAAATATGCATTATTTTTTTTAAACAAAGGAAGACGACGCAGCTGGACTGGAGAATACTAAAGAAAAGGATTGTGATTCTGATTGGGACTGAACGGCATGTAAAGAAAGACAAGAAAAGGGACAAAGGGTGGTGGTGACCTGACCAGTAAGAGGTTTGGGTCGGGTGTGGTGGCGTATATGGTGGGGCAAGAGGTGTCGTGGTTGTATTGGACAGATGTCAGAGGCAACTATGGTAATGGGAGGATGTGAGAGTGGGGGTGAAGGGTGGGAAGGGGATGATTTAAATCACAAAAGGCCATGTCTTGTTTGGCTGCTTCATTTTCCACCTTAATTCCACACTCTCTGTCTCTCGTTTCAATCCAACTATATATATATATCCATAAGTTGTAATCTCTTTTAAACAGTAGATCATAAAAGTTTTCGATCCTCCCAACAAAACAAACTTTCAGTAATCTAATTTGTTTTCTCAATCTTACGGGAATTGATGTCGCTTGCTATCTTAATCAATACTTTGTTGGTGAATTGCTCTCTTAATTACTAATTAGCTAATAGTACTAAATAATCACTCGAATTTGACCAGCAGAATCAATTCAATAATACTATAACTAACACATATTTATGTAGAAAATTACATTACTAGTCACTGTTCTGAACTTTAATTATTAGCAATAATACCATAATACGTTTCCCTACAAAAAAACAAAAGAAAGGCAATAGATTACAAATCAATTTAGTGTATTATATTAATTAAATTCGTCTTTTCTGTCTGATAAAAAACATATCATTCATATTGAGACTAGAAGAATTCATAAGTGAAAAAAACAAAATCTTTTAAAAATCAAATCTCCATATCACTAAACTTATTTACCAACAATGGGTATTTTTTTCGTTTACTGATTCAATAAAATTATTTAAACTTTTTTTTTTTTGTGCTTTCCATGTTTGACAAAGCACCAACTACTAAATTATTAACTAAAAAGAAAAAATCACTATATTTTTAAAAATCTCTTTAATCAATAAATACTAATGAGAGGTTTCTCCTCATTCAGCAGCTTCTTGCAATTAGCAGCAATATATAATTATCAACAAAAAAAAAAAAAAGAAAAAACAAGAAAAACACGTGCAATTAGTAGTAGCTAGCCTTTTTCTCATATATGAGATAAATAATTGAATATTTAAAGGTTTCAGTATTGTTTTTACAATTTCAAATACATTTAATATATATATATATATAAGGCAAATTTGTTATAAAGAGTTGTTAATTAGCTAGATAGAGGACCCTCCCCTCCGCCTCAGGCCTCCAGTCCTTATCGCCATTGCTTAATAGACATCTCCTATTTGGAATTTTGTATGATAATATTATTTTCTTGATTTTGAGTCTGCAACCACTACTTATTATTATTATTAATTAAACAGATACAACTTCTCGTGACCTTATCAACTTCTTAATTTCTTTTTTGAAAAATATCATTAATACTTTATGGTATTTTTCTTTTCTTCATAATTCAATATATATACTCGTCTTTTTTTCATAAAATAATAAGCTCATTTTCCTTTTTAATTTGGTCCAAATTATAATTTTATTTATTTTTTCCAAAATAATATTTTTTAAAAGTTTCTTATTAACTGAATTTTGAAATAGCAAATAACTAAAACATGGAACCTTCAATATTCTTAATTTTTTTAAAAAAAATATAAGAATAATACTAGGAAAAAGTTAAACAAATATTATGATTTAATTGTATTAAATATATTTTCTTAATATGTGTGAAAGTCTAACTAGATTTATTTCTATGCACATCAAGTCCATAAACGAATGATAAGTGCATATACAACCTAGCAATAAATCAATGTTTGAATCTCTCTCCCGATTACTCAAAACAAAAAGCTAGATTTATTTTTATGGGACGAAATTAATATGAAAACTTAATGATATCAATTTTGATCATGGTACCAAATAATTTTGTGTAATTATAAAAAAATATTTTTTGAAAATTGAAAAATCTTGTTCTTAGATTTATTTTGAGTTTACATTTGTATGGTTCCTTTCAAAAAAGTACTCATGGGTGAAGTAAAAGGACTGAGTAGTTATGAAGCAACATCAAGAAGGAGATTTCACATGAAGAACACTTTAAAGGAAATAAGTCCACACAAAGGGCCATTGTGGTCTTAGGTAATGGCACCCCCATGTAATAGAGGACAATGACCCTATGATGTGTCAAGAGCACCAAAAATCACCCCACAAGCCATCACTACTTGATCACTTCCATTGATTTTGTTGTTTCTTTAATGTTTTAGGTTGTTTTGTGGGTTCTTATTTGATATATGATGCCCACTTTTATGTCTAGGACATTTCAATCAATGACTTTCTGGCCCATTTACTTATACAAAATTGAGCATCTTTCCCATATTTTCTTCTTGATCAAAAAGTGAAATGCTAACTTTAAGAAAAAGATTTGTGGTTGAATTTTTAATTATAATTCTTTCTTCTTCTTGATATGAAAGTGAAGTGCTAACTATGAGAGAAAGATTTGTGATTGAAGATAAATAATGCAAGCTATATTAATGTCTCAAAAAAAGAAATTTCAACATTAAATTATTTTGAATTCAAATTAGTTGGTTTGATAATGATAATTCATATTTTAAAGTTTATTTAAGTGAAAGGAAGATCATATATAGTATGATCAATTCTTTTCAAATCTTGAATGATTGGAGTGTTTTCATACTATTTCAAATTTTTCAATAACATTATATATATATAGAAAGAAGTACCTTATTGTACTATATCATGTATCAATATGCCTTTTTCTACTATATAATGAAACATAATGGCCACATATGGCTCTACAAATTAGAAATAGGCACATAAAAATTATTAATTATATATTATTAAATCAATTTTAATTTCATTTATATTTATATAATACAAATATTATTTCCAATAGGTAATAATATATGTATTTTTATAGAAATACTATGATATACTGTTATATAATAATATTTCGATTTCAGCGGACTTTAAACTCAATTCATTAATCAATTTATATTTTACATTCTCGTTGAACGTATACGAATATATGTTAATTTCATTATTAATATTAATTCCAAATTTATTTATAACTATTTATATTATCATTAAACATATCAAAATAGAGCTAATATTCTAAAATACTCGTTTCAGATGTTGTCGGTACATACATTTCTTGATTAGAGTGACAATCAAATGTCACCAATTTCCTTAGCCTTTTCTAATAAGTATGGGCAAATATACAAAATATGGGTCATAGGCTTGTAGCTATAGCCTATAGCCTATAGCTATGCATGTCCTTATGTTGTTTTGTATAATTAACTGAAGAGCATTATATATTACAAGAGATTACTTCTTTATGATTAATAAACTCAATTATTCTGTTCTTGATGTGTCATTTTTTTTTGCCCGACAGCTTGAAAATTATTGTACAAGAAAGAAATCTTGGACTGATCCTCAGCCTCAATCCACAAATTTACTATTCAACAGGGTGGAGTATGCATAATTGATCACTATTAAGAATTTTGCTCTGTGATTGAGATTATCGATAATAAATATTTTTATTTATTTATTATTTATGATAATAAAATTGAATCACTATTAAGAATTTTGCTCTTGTGCATTGAAAGATTATCGATAATAAAATAAAAAAGAGGAATATTTAAATTTAATTAGGAATATTAATAATTAAACTATATATATTTTAATTTAGTAAAAAAACTTCCTCAGTAATTTATTATTATAATAATTAAAAATAAAAAAATTAATATATGAATTCAATTGAAACTCCTAATATTATATGGATAATTTACAATATATACAAAAATTAACATAAAATTATATATTAAAAAAATAAATCATGAGTACATAGAATAAATATAAATACCATTTAAACTACAAAATATTTATTAGTAAATATCTTTAATCCGTTAGATTAAGTCTAATCTTTTTCACGCCGTCTAAATTTCATGAAGGAAAAACACTCTAATGAGAATTTTTTTTATTTATAAATATCAAACACTTAATTTATTATCTTATTTAAAGTATTTAAGTTATTTTTACTCAAATTATTATCTTACTTAAGGATTTAAGTTTTTTTTCACTCGAATTCATCTTTTACAGAAACTGTTGTTGATTGAAATCTACTTTTATACTGACCATTGTTGTTGATTAAAAGCACCGTTTTAGCTTACCTGTAACCAATTTTAGCCAAAAAAAAAAAAATCTAGAAGAAGACAGCAGTAAATTAAAATTTACTTGCTATATTCACACACACACAATTTAATTTACTGCTATATTCACACACGCACGATTTCTAACTTCTCTTATTCAGTAAATTCCATAACGGCCCCTCACTGTCATTTTACTCTCAAGCCTCTATATATAATTTATAACCCACCAATCTCTCTCTCAAACCTCATTCTCTCACTCTCTCTCTCTCTCTCTCTCTCTCTCTGTAACACAAACAAGACAAGCAAATTGCTCTCTCTGTCTAGAGAGTATGGGCTTTCCTGTAGGCTATACAGAGCTTCTACTTCCAAAACTACTAATTCACACTCTTTCTTTTCTGGGTTTCATTAGAAAGCTCATAAGCACCATGTTTCGCTATTTGGGTCTTCCTGATTTTCTTGAACCCGACATTTCTTGGCCCGAAACTCCACCTCGTGTCCCTGAGTTTTGCTCCGTCTCTGCTGTCCTTATCCGTGAGATCCTTCCCGTTGTTAAGTTCGCCGATCTTGTTGACCCGCCGGATAGCTGTGCTGTCTGTTTGTACGAGTTTGAAGACCAAGACGAGATCAGACAGCTCACTAACTGCCGCCATATCTTTCACCGGAGTTGCTTGGACAGGTGGGTCGGTTATGACCAGAAAACATGTCCCTTGTGTCGGACGCCGGTGATTCCTGACGATATGCAAGAAGCTTTTAATGAAAGACTATGGGCTGCTTCTGGAATTCCAGAATTTTATGGGGAGTATTCTCAAATTGCTGGCTTGTAGAGTTTAGATTCAATAATGATCAAACCCCATAAAAATAGGGGGGAAAAAAAAAAAAAAAAACAATTTTATTATATTTTTTTAACCTTATTTGCCTCTTTAGAGGTTTTTTTTCTTTTTTTTTCCTAGTTGAAAGGTTGGTGTTGTGTGTATATATACAAAATGATGAGAAAAAAAGAAAATTTGAGGAGAATTAGAATATGGTTTTGTGTATAGTTTCTTACCTTCTTCTCATTCCCTTCTTTCAAAATTTTTATTTATTTTTTATAATTAACTTACAATTTCAATCCAATGATTTTGGTGTTATAATTATGTTTTGTTACTATTTTTTTTTTTTTTTTTTTTTTTTTTTAACTGATTTTTTTTTTTATTTTTCTTTTTTTTTTTTTTTTTTTTTTTTTTTTTTTTTGAAATTTCACTTAGATTTGGATGGGTAAAAAATCTAAAAAGCATTTCTTTTATTGAATTCGAGTTGATAGGATGTTGATGAACAATGATGATGGTTGTATAAAAATTTGCTTTTTGATACTAGTTGTTAGTATTTTCAACCATTATGGCAAGTGGAATGTGACATTATTATTTGTTGTTGTTATAGATATAGACAAAGCTGAGGTCAGTGTTTTTTTCTTTTTTCTTTTTAAAAAAAATTGGGATTATACCAAACCAACCCTATTTAGATCTATATATAAATAGCAACAAATTAATAATAGTTAATATATATAGTATCTTGGAACTAAGGTTTAGTTTTTGTTTTGCTAATATTTTTAAAAAATGAATTTCATAGAATTTAAATTTCCTATAATAGATTGAAGAATAGTTTGTTTTGTCATATATTTTTTTTCAGATAAATTTGTTGTTATATTAATACTTTATTGGATATCCAACTTATTTGGACCGACACAAATAAAATGAAGTAAATTTGTATTAATTGCATGTGCAAGTAAAATTTTATTAAAATTTGAAAATTTTGTTTTAAAATTGATTCAATAAACTATGTAATTGAATGAAAAGATAAAGTTGTCTCGTAAAATTATGAAATATTATCACGTACCATGCTCTTTGACATAAAATTATAAGATTGGCCTCTTACGGTTTGAAAAATAATACAAAAATTTTCTAATATAAAAAGATAAAAATTACCCATTTATAATATAAATTTAATGTATTTTTATAGTTGAATTATTTTTCATGAACTTTTCATATATTCACATGTCTAAAATTAATAATATTAATTTAAAATATATATTATGTATTTTGTATGTATGATAAATGTTAACTACTTAGAATATCAAATATCTCATTTATCAAATAATTTAAATCATTCAGTAATCGGTTTTTCCTTCTTTTTTTTTTTTTTTTTTTTTTTTAATACGGTTTCCCTTCTTTTTTTTTTTTTTTTTTTTTTTTGTTATGCGTGTTTTTTTTTTTTTTTTTTTTTTTTGTTATGCGTGAATTTATTTATTCTTAATAAGTAAAAGCATCCCTTAGAACAATCTTAAATTGCCAAGTGGCAAGGAAATAATCATTCTCATTGCACATAACTCTCAAAAGAATAATCCCCACACGGTTTAAGAACAAATTAAATAATGATTTTTATATTTAAACTTCTAGAGATATATATTTATATTTAAAAAAATCCAATAATATTATAATATATACTAGTTGTTTCTATTATTTAGTTTTCTAAATTTTAATGCTATATAAATCTCACATAGACCCACAACAAGCAAAGCAAAAGAAACTCCAAATTACACATCATAAATCAAAAAGATAACCTTAGAGAACGACATGGTCAAACCACGCTCTTAAATATTCTTAAGAGACCCGAACTTTCCTAAGACTATATTGAAGACGTAAAGAAACCAAATTTGCTTTCTTTACCACAAGAATATTATAAATTCCCATTAATTTGATTTTGGGTACATTATTATTCATGAATCTTCCTTTTTTATTTTTTTATAAATAATATTTTACAGTACAAGACAAACAATGGACCTTAGCTGCTGCTATTTTCCCAATGTTCCTCGTTTATTTATTGTTTTAAAATCACATTATTAAATTAAAATTTTTTAAAATATTCAACTTCTAATAGAAAATGAAAATATTGCTGATGCATTGGCAGTTAGAAGGTTATGAATTTGCGATAAGGACTGAGATGGGTAGGCAGTTGAAGATTAGACCATAGATTAGATTTTAGCTAAATATAGATAAGCTACTTGGTTGGTTGCATCATCATCATAGATTAGGTTGAGACTGTGCTAGGGTTTGTAGCCATCAAAGTTCTAAATTCTATGATTCAGTTCTACAAACTCTTCCAATGGGTTTATTAGGTTATCCAAAATTTAACCATCCAAATCAAATACTTGTTGGCATATCACAATTTCAGCAACCATGGTGACTTTGAAATCTAAAATTCATTAGCTGCCCCAAATTCATTTCAACATGCACAAAAATAATTATGACTATCTTCAAATCAGAGTCTGCCTAACTTTAGGCTAAAAATAGTTCTCTTGATAAGCACCAATTCACTTGTAAAAGACAATTTAAAATTGTTATAGATATAGGAATAATTATTTTTTTGACAGCAATTCAAGCAAGCCACAAAAATGAGAAAGAATGGCATTTGCCAGAAAATCAAAACATCAGCTCTTCTTCATATGATAAAGATGTTGAATAATTAAGTGCAATTAATGTACAACAAAAATTTGCATTATGCACACCAATATTGGCACCAAAGGTAAAATATTAAGAGGAAGAGAAAAAAAAAAATTGTCTCAATTTTTAGTTTTTTTTTTTAATGCACAGTGAACAATTCAAAGAGCACAGATTTTTACTGGTATAAAATAAACAGAACAAAAGAACCATCTCCGCTATTTTTCCCACACTGGACACAACTCACAATAGAGTTTATCACCACAAAATCAATATTAACCACTGTAACACTCCTTTGGAACGGCATACCAACATTCATTAAAGTCACCAATCTACCTGGAATAGCCAGAAGGTGGGTAGCCAGAAGGTGGGTAACCAGGCGGTGGGTAATTGGCAGGCGGAGGATAACCTGCCGCAGGATAGCCTTGAGCTTGTGGATAACCGTAGGGCTGTCCATATCCAACATTGGGAGGAACTGGCTGATCAATGCGTGACATCTGCTGAACAGGGGGCACAGCCATCACTTGTGGCCCGAATTTGCCATCTCGTTTGTCCATTTCAATCTTGTGTTGAGTCTGCAGATATAATAGGTTAGAATAGTAAAATGTAGTCTTTTTTCAAAAAAAGTGTATGCAGTTTCTCATTTCATGCATTTTGTTGGATCATATCAGTACCTGCATACAGGCGCAAACCCTGTCGATAAAAAGAGATAAAATCAGTAAAATCGTCAAAAGCTGCCTTGGCTAATAAGGAGCATTCAATACTAAGATTTGGAAAGAAATGCTTACGTGCAATACACCATATCAGCCAAACATGAAAGTAACTGAGAAGCCTCTGAAATTTCATCACTCCCAACAATCATTGCCACAATGGAGAATATACATGCAATTTGTTGGAGACAGAACATAAAACCCTGAAGGAAAGAAGAAGCATGCTCAACCAATCACAAAATAAGCATAAAATAACTAAATAAAATATGGGTGACAAAGATAGAGGTAGTACAATAATGCAATTATCACATTGTGTGGTCTGAATGTTGAATTCATCTTGCAATAGAAAGCGGGTAGAGGCCACCGAATTTCCAAAGCAGCAGAATACCTGAGAAATCAAAAAAATAATTATTGGCCTTGATAATAGCATCTCCGCAGTTGGCACATCCAGTTAGAAAATGAAAATTTCAGTAAAATTCTGAGAAGAGGACTATCTTTTCTACAGAAAACAATTGTTCCCAATCCTTGAAAAGTTTATGACATTTCAATCCTCTTCCAGGAAAAATTGTTGATTTGACAGGTATACTATGGGTTGTTAATTATTCATGGGGTTGCCAACAAGAGAGGATCCTATGGACTGGATGGAACTTTTCACAACCATACTGCACAAGTAACGTATTTCACTTGGCAAAGTATTTATGTGGACAAAGAATTTGTACAAGTTTATTATAATGTAAAAGTTAACCAATCTCCGTAACCAAGGTTTTTGGGCAGTCAGTAAGGTTTTCACAAATAGCCCTAAATCTCAGAGAGCTTACCGAAAAATCTTATTATTTTTAACAGGATATTTTACTTATTTTAACAGAATTTAAAGCAAAAAAAAAAAAAAAAAATCACGAAATAGCCCTAAATCTCAGAAGGAGCTTACCGCGGAGAAAATCTTGGATTATTTTAACAGGTATGAATTATCTACGTATATTTTAAACGAATTTAAAGCAAAAAGAAAAAAAAAAAGAAAAATATGCATTCTGTTGAATTCTTGATTAACAAAAAGACAAGCACAGTTCCCGACCGGTCCTATCCTTTGTCATTAACACCTTAATATTTCTATTAAATCAAAAAAAAAAAAAAAAAAAATGCATTTGTAATTCTGATAACAAAGAGAACAAACACCCACCGGTCTAGTCTTGTCATTAACACCTAATATTTCTATTATCCATTTGAGAAATGGAAATTTTAAAATTGCAGCCAGTATGATGGGGAGAGAATTCTGTCACTTAGACAACTAAAAGAAAACTTGGTAATTCTTTTCACTTAAAGTCAAAGTTATTTGAGATTGCATGTAAATAACTTGAAAAAGCCTACAACGGTTCATAAATTTCCCTTAAGCTCCGTTCACTTGACAGGCTTGCTTGCCATTGCAGAAAATCTGCAAGTAAGTAGTTCAATATTTTACCGTAGCTTGCCTGAACTCAATGGGAGAGAATAACATATTTCACCAGTTTTTGGAAACAAATAGAACATTTCTGCGATTCCCATACTATTTTCATATGTTTCATTCCAAATTGCTAAAAGTAGCAATGAACATTAATCTGATTTCTCAGAAAAAGCAGGTTCAGTGTAAGGGTTTCAGAAATGAAATTAGTACAGCGATCCCACTATACAACCTTTACATGCATCTTTGAAAATCCTGTTTCAAAATATCCCCTACAATTTGTTTATCTTAGAAATATATTCTGGAGTTGAATCTTTAACCAATGAATCTAAGGCAAAGAAACACCTTATTATGTTGACCAATGAAAAATAAACACTCTACCTCTGTGGCAAGGCAAAATTCTGGGCACTTGCTTTCACCACACCTGCCGCTACAAGGCATATAACCAGCACAACAGACATACCTATGACAACATAGGACAGTTATTTCAAAGGATATTACAAAGATAGAAAAAGATTTTATGAAATGAAGATATCAATTACCTTGACATGTCATTGTATAGAGCTCGCTTTCGGAGCAAGTATGATACACATGGCCCACTACAAAAAAATTAAAGAGAATTAGGTGCACTGGGACAAAAGACATACTCAAATTTTAAAAATATGGAGTTATCACATGCAAATATACACACAGATTTATTAAAATATAAAAATAAAAAAGAAAACAATTTTATTTGGTTCGACATTATTCCTTTGTCCAAGGACCTCTTGCCTTCTTTTTTTTTTTTTCCTTTTACTATTGACAAAAAAGAATGATTCTCATTACAAGAGATTAGGGTTTCCTTTTATAGCTGGGATTTAGGGTTCCCAAAATACTATAATTCACCTACCCATAATAAAAATTTACAAGCAGCTCAAAAAAAACATACCATATGGTACTGCCGAGCTACCTACTGATAGGCCAAATTGCTATTATTCCCCAAAATGAAAGGGAATAAGCAAGCACCAAAGGGATCCATTGAAGAAGATCCTCCTTCTTCCCTTTTTTTGGAAGAAAAGGAGGATCCAGACAAAATTAACAAATCAGAAGAGATCCAAGTGAATGGAAAAGAAAAACCAAAGGATGACTTCCATTTTCACTTAAAAGATACATTCCATAAAAATAGACCATTTTATGAAACTTCTTATCAGTATGAGAGCTGAGAAAATTTGAAGTCCGAAAAGATATTTTATTTCTTTTATATATCAATATTTTGAAAGAAATAAAAGAAATAAAGTATCTTTTCTGGTTTGAAAAGCCATTTGTAGCTATTCTTTTCAACTCTAAATATTGAAACTGTCTTATCTGAAAATATAAAAAAGAATCAGTTAGAGAACATTATAAGAAAAGAAATGTAATATATTTTTTATATATTTCAAAGAGAATAAAGGCCCTTTGCCAGTGTCTTTAGGTTTTTACTGATTCTCCAAAAAAAACAAATATGAGCCACATTTACAACAAAAATTCAATTATTAAGTGATACATACATAATAGTAAAAAGAAAAAAGATGATACATATATCACACAAAAATCACAATTTTATACTATAATTTCTATGATATGCAGTTGATAAATCAAATATCTTTTTAAATTCACAATCATCTCATAAAAAATTCTAATAAGGCTATGATTTTCAAACAATCTTATTGTTAATTTTACTCTCTTCCACATAGTATAAAGGCAATCTTAGAAATAACAGAATATAAATATCATGTTAGTCATGAAAAGAAGGAATAATCAACTAGAAATGTGCTGAAAGAACTGTCTTATGTCAAAGAGCCAAAAACTGAAGTTTAGATGATTGGTCATTCGATGTTCAAAAGCATTGCAACAATCAAAAGAAGGCGAATAAGATGTGTATGAAGTATGATTTTGAATTGAAAGAAAAGGCATACAATGAATTAAAGCCCATAGAACTACATTGCTAGAAACTACCATGCCTCAACTCATGCTAGATTGTTAATTGATTATCTGCTAAATAATAGAGACAGTCATAAGCAAACTTAAAAAGCAAAAAAAAAAAAAAAAAAAAAAAAAAAAAAAAAAAAAAAAAAAAAAAAAAAAAAAAGAATGAAGGAAAGAGCTAATGAAATATTAAGGTAAAAATTCATAAATAACTGGAACAGAATTGATCAGAATCACCCAAATTTGAACAAATTCATTACATCTATCAAAGTCAACCCTAAGTCACTGCAAGTCAAGAGCCTAAAATTTTCTAACAGATCAATGTAATTTAAGAATCGAAGGATAAAATTGAATAGAGAAAACATGGAGTCACATAATTGAAAATAGCCAGATCTACGTTCCAAGATCAAATAAACAGTAGATCAAGAGTACTCACCACCAAAATGAAAAGCAGCAATCTGCATCCAAAAACCAAAAGACAAAACAAAAACCATAAAATCAGTCAAATAAACAAACGAGCATATAAATAGAACACATAAAACAAAACTTACAAGGAGTATCAGCTTGAATGGCGTGCATGAGATCAGTGTGCCAGAGATTCCGGTAGTTCTGGCGGACCTGCATCTTCTCCAGATGCGCCTGAGAAGCCATGGCGACGTAAAAACTCACAGGCCCAAAACAAAACTTGATTGTAGAGAATTGAAAGCACAGAGATTATATAATTATAACAAAGGGCAAAGGAAAAATGTTTTGACTTTTCAATGAATTTATTTGAGGCTGAGACTTTTAAAACTAAAAACCCTCGATTTCTTCAAATCAAAGCCAAGAGAAACAACAGTAGAGCTTTCCTAAGCGAAGACGACGACTTCGAAGAGACAACCCATTTGCCACTTTCGATAATTAATTAATTAAAATATTAAAAAAAATTGACTAGCAGTTGTTGCGTACTGCATACTCGCTTTCGATTGGTCTTTGCCGAAAACGGTAAAATTGAAATATATATATATATAAATTGTTTTAACATATAAGGGGCAAATGTGAAAAATAAGATTTTTTAAATGCCTACTGTAAGTTATAATGACTTTGCAAAAATAAATTTATATTAATAATATTATTAGGTAATATGGTAAATTACCATGTTTTTATATTTGATTTTATGTCCATGATTTTTATTATTTCAAAATTAGACATTAATTCTCTGTCTCCTTGCAAAGGGAAATTGAAAATTAACAAGCCAATTGCCTAATCCATTCTTACGGGGCGGCCGGTGTTTACTTGAACCAAACCTTAGTTAAGGTTTCAGTTTGGTTTTAAATTATTGGATTCGAGTTAGTATTAATAGAGGGCCTATTAGTTTTTATTTCGATTTCGTTCCGATTTAATCTTTTCTTTTTTTTTTATTCCTTTTTTTTTTTTTTTATCATGGAAAGTTTTATATATTCCCTTTTTTTTTTTTTTCATTCATAAACCAAATCAATCATGGAAAGTTTTATAAAGAAATCTAACAAAATATAAAAAAGACTTACCTATATCAAAATCTCTTATATGAAGGTATTCATGTATTTTTCAAAATTTATAAAGTAAATAATTAAATTTATCAAATTATAAGATCTAAATTGTAATTTAAACATATAAAAGTGATTGGTACTTAGCTGGAAATGTAAGTACCGCCCATAGCTCTTCCTTTTCAACGTATGGTTATGATTAAAAATGAAATGTTTGTACATATGATTATATATATAAAAGTCAGCTCAGGGCAGTGTAACAACAACAAACGAGAAACTATCTCAGATTATTCTTTTTCTTGTCTTGCGCAAAATAAGTTTTCACATTTAGATATGTCTTCTTCTAATCCCTACTTCCAAACTTTTCTCAATGGTTCATTTTGTTCAAACACTGAAAGTGACATGCTCTTTAATGATACTTCATTTTTTCCTATCTTTGAAGATCATGTTGATCGTATTCATAGCCTCGATCAATTCTCAGAAAACCCATTTACGCCATCTTTACCTCCAAATGATCACCAACTAGAGAATTTGACTACTCCTTCTCAAACAACCCAGTTGCAGCCTCTGCAAAATGGTTCAGATTTTGCTGCTTGCTCCAGTTTGCCAAATGAATGTAATAATTTCTTTGACGACTTGGAAACTTTCTTTTACAACTCAATGGAGTCTCCACATAAACAACAGGACTCTACCATAAATGATGGATGCCTTGGTGGTCAAATTATGATAAGCAAGATTCATAGCACAGGAGATTTACAAGTAAAACTTCTTACCCTGTTTTCTTTCTCTCCTTCTTTTTTTTTATTAAATAATTTTGTCCTGATTAGGGATTTCGAACTTGAGATTTCGCGCTGGTGTAGATGACTTCGGTACCATTGATCTAAAAGTTTTTGCTTAAAGGTTTTTTCTTTCCATAAAAATTTTGTTTCAGAACAATATAGCAGCACATAGAAAAAGGTGTTCTACAGAAGAAACAAATCTGCAAGTGATACCTTACAGTGCAGAAGAGAGAAAAAAGAGGATTGAAAAGTATAGAGCAAAACGACCCCGAAGGAACTTCAACAAGACAATTAAGGTAAACCTAACTATAACTGTCATTTGATTTTTTATTTCAGCTAGTTTGAAAATCACCATGCAACTAATGCATGCATGGTTTTGTAAGACATTAACGATCTTTCATCTATTTCAGCTTATCCTAAAACTCTTGCTAATCTTGCCAATATTTTTTACTATAATCTTCAAATATTATCTTAGTGGCAACAGAAATAAAAAATTTTATTAATGTATTTTTATTTACTATAATTTTCGAAGTATGTTAGTCGAAAGAGGGTAGCAGACAACCGTGCCCGCATACGAGGAAGATTTGCAAGTGATGAGGAAACCGTTATGGTCCTAAAGCAGGAGACAGGGAGTTCGGAACAGGGAAATTCCACTGCACCCTACGGCCTACTGGAGCTGACGCCAAATCTGAGACTCAACTGGGTAACCATAATAATTAATTACTTTTCTCCTACTAAAATGTATAATTAATAAAAAAATTAGAGAGCTTTTAACTAATTAATGTTTGTGCTTAATTGATTTATGTAGTTTGATGGGCTGCATGAGAAGAACTTTGATGGGACAGTGATAGGAGGAAATTGTTCTGAGAACCTTAATTTCATTAATTATGAGGGTTTTGACTTTTGGCGAAGCTTTTTCAGTGGAGAAAGCGACGAGCTTTAACCTGGTCAAGAAAAGACACAAGCATTCATAAGACCCCTTCTATTTTATTTTATTTATTTATTTTCCGTGTAGTATATATAATGGAAGTATATTATATCCCTTCCAATCTCATGAACATTTTATATATTACGTGGACAGAGACAGATATTGATATGAGGGATGGCATTGAAGATGTTGGGTTTATGCATTATATAAATAAGAAATGAAATATATGTTTCACTGTAATTCATGTAATTGATTTACCATAGCATTGATGCTTCCAAATCCTCACTTTTGACCATTTATAAATTATTATATACTCGTATTTTCAAGCTTCATTTGTTGAACTATAATAGAATATAATATAATAGAATCAAATGCGTTTTTAGTATAATGTTTATATTAAAAATTATACCGCATTTCCTTAAAACTTATCGAACAAAGGGTAATTTTTCATCCTACAATATTATGGATATAGGCATATATTTTTTCTTCCACTTAATAAATTTCTTATTTCACAAGTAATACAAAGGGAGAAAAAGAAGAGGGTTATCTATAAACGTATATTTGTTAATTTCTTTAAATGACAAACACAAGTCCAATGGTCGGGAATCAAATACTATTCTATAAAGCAGTCAAATGGTAAAGTTACCTTGATTGCTGAGTTCTTGGAAGATTCTTACGTGTGAAATCACAGACACTGGAATAATAATTTAAGAGTACAGAATAAAGTGTTAGTATTTGTGGGGTTAATTTCCTACAACTTCTTACGGCCATTTCTTGGTCCAAAGCTAATTATATAATCTAGGGTTCTTCTTCAATTTAATTTTGTGTTTAATTCTGATATTATTTTATATTTCAATTTGACAAAAAAGATTGGCAAGTGATGAATGGATGAGTGGCATTATAAATTTAGATAGAAGTGAATATCAATTTTTGTCCGTTAAATTGTTCAATGCAAAGTGTTCCATATTTTTTTCCTTAATAAAGCATCTTTATATATATATATATATATATAAAATAAAAAAAAGCAAAGTTCTAGAAAATATCGTTAATCTGGGATGTGAGATATTGGTATTATCATGCAAAATTCATGATGACAATCTTGGTGGAGGGTTCAAGAGAATATAGGTACTCAAGGGGTAGTCTCTAGCCTGGCCCAAAAAGAAATGGTTGGGCCTCAAGCTCACCCCGATATTTTTAAAGATAATCTTAACAAAATAACAAGGTCCAGTGTTGGCCCAATGGAATTGTCCATACAACACGCACTTAAGCGCTCGGCTCTCTATATTGCTGCCCTGAAATTTAAGTTCTAGGCCCATTACAGGAACGACCGGTCGTTTGAAGATTAGTCCTCCATTCAAAAGATGAACGTTTAACAATGAGATTGGACGACAGAATTGTGCAACCAAATTTTAGACTGGAATCTAGTTGCAGTTGTTTGTTAGTCAGGTGAATGTAATTTGAATTTTTAAATCTATTTAATATTAATTTAATTAAGTTAAAGAAATAAGTAATTGAAAATGATTTTAAATTTGTAATCAAAAAGACTACCTAGAAACATCAACCTTGACCAAGAACAAAAAAAATTGCTAATCATGGGGTAAAGTGCGTTTATTCTTCCAATTTTCATTGAGAATTACTATATATAGTGTAAGAATATTTCAAACCAAAGAAAAAAAAAAAAAAAAAAAAAAAAAAAAAAAAAAAGTAAAAAAAAAAAAAAAAAAAAAAGTAGATGCATACCTCTGTAATTTTGGAATGGTAACAACAGAAAAGCATATTCTTTGTTTTTTTTTTTTATATCTAAAATCCCATCTTCAGAATTACCCTCTGTTTTCAAGAACTCTAAATTCCCTTTTGCACATTCTCAGCGAATGTAATTCCTTGATCTTGAAACAGTAAAAACTTAGAACTCCTCCATTCATGAGGGCGAAGAGGTAAAGTAAAGGCTGCAGAAAATAGATGACAGACAGTCAAGTAGAAAACTGGAAACCCAATATGCCCACTTGGAAGAAATTGTTAAATATAGCAGCTAGTTGTTGCACTTGGGGAAATCTTGCATTTTATTGGTTTTTGCGATTAAAAAGGGTCAATTTGAAATGATATTCAAAATATTAGAATAATCTTTAATATATTAGCGAATGATAATCATATTAGTAGAATAATCTTTAATATATGACACAGTTAGGGAGCCTTTATTCTATTAATTACTGTAAAGTGTAGGGACAATTGTGCAAAGAGCCTGCTCTATAAAGCTCAAATGTGAAGTGGACTAGTCTCTCTGTATGTTTTTGGACTTTCAAAGTCTCCATTTTCTCTGAGAGAGAGAGAGAGAGAGAGAGAGAGAGAGAGGGAAAATTGACATGTTTTTGTCTTGTAGCAAGAGTAGTGTCAAGCTTTGATTAAATTAATCAGAGCCCAAGTGTCACTTGTGAAGCTTTGTGGCAGTTTGAATGCCAAAATAGACAGACAAAATAGCCTAAAAAAAGAAAAAGGAAAAATTATAATTAGTAGAAGTAGCAAGAACAAGAGCAGCTTCTCTCTGGTTCTTGCACTAGTTTTTCTTTCTTTCTTTGTTTTTGTTTTTTTCAACTTTTGAGTTCAATTCAATCAAAGGATTGAGCTCAAAAAATAATGTCTTCTGATCTTTTTTTTTGTGATAGCTCTTTGTATCACCACTCCAGCCCTGAAATGGATGGAGACCTTCTAATTTATGACCCTTTTTCTCCCTTTTGTGATTCCTCTGCTGACATCTTTCAAGAATTCTCTAATAGCCAAAAAAATCAAAACCCAGTTCATAATTCCAACTCTTTAGACAATTTTAGCCCTACTATTCTCTCATCTTCTCCTCCAAGTCACCAACTTGAGAATTTGTCTCTTTACCAGACAACCTCTTTGCAGCCTCCTGAAAATGGTTCCACTTTTGCAAATGGGTATACAAATTTCTCTGGTTTGGGCAATTTTGGGGTTAAAACTGAGGAATGTCAAATGGGTTATGACTCTTCTTACAATAACCAACTCTTTATGCCTCATAGTTACAGTGGTGCAGAGAATGTGGCAAAGTTTATGCAGAGAAGCTATAGCAGCAATTCTTTTGAAGGCAAACCTGACTTTCTATTTCAACCTCGCTTTGACACTCTCCTAGAATCCTCAAATTATCAAAATGAAAACTTAAGCTCACCTGAAAACACCTTTCTTGCTGGTCAATTGAGGAGGGTTTGCAGCACTGGAGATTTACGAGTAAGATAACTCTCAATTCCCCTGTTTCTTCCCCTGTTTTTATTCTGCTCTCTCTTTTTAATCATTCTATTGTATTCAAACTCTGCTCTAGAATATTAGAACATCACATACAACACAGAGGTCCTTTTCAAGTCCTTTGGCTAGTGAGAGCTCCTTTACTGAAGAAGCAAATTTTAAAGTTGGACGTTACAGTGCTGAAGAAAGAAAAGATAGGATTTCCAAATACAGAGCCAAACGTAACCAGAGAAACTTCACTAAAACCATTAAGGTAAGACCCCAGCTTAATCCAATTCATTCCAACATGTCCATAAATTAATCAATCAATTTACATTATATTTATTGATTAATAATGTTAATGAGGTTGGTGTTGGTTTTTTCTTGGATTCAAGTATGCATGTCGAAAAACACTAGCAGACAACAGACCTCGCATACGTGGAAGATTCGCGCGCAACGATGAGACGGGTGAGATTCCCAAAGCTGCATGTTCTATCAGACATGAAGACGCAGATGAGCTATGGGTATCATAATTGTTCTTGTTCTTAGTTCTTACATTTTTGACACTACATAAATAAATAAAAATGCAGACTTTAATAGTATTATATTGTTATTGCAGTTTGATGGGGTTCACGGAGAGGAAGAAGATGGAGGAATTAGAGGAGGAGATTATGTTAACGGTTATGGACAAGCTCAGTTTCAGTATTACAGTTACTGAAAGATTTTTCTGGAGAGGTTTTAAGCAGTAGAAAGTTTTTATGTATAGTAACCAGAAAGAAAAGGCACTTTTGAAGAAAGGAATTCAAAGGCTTTTTTTGAAATAAGTCATCAAAATATTTATATGTTAAAATCTGCAGTTGCCTGTTGGTAGTTGCAGTTTAGTTTTAGCAGTTTTTTTTTTTTTTTTTTTTTTTTGTTAGTTGCATTTAGTTAGTTTTTTTTTTTTTTTTTTTTTTTTTTTTTTTTTTAATTTTTTTTTTTTACTTTTTTTAACTTTTTACTGTTTTAGTGTAATCATTTGTCACTTCATTTGTGTATATATATATATGGAGCTCAATAATGACTTTCTATTTTGACTTTTTTTTTTTTTTTCCTTGAGCAAGATGTAGTGGCTATTTGAATACAATATCTCTAGCAATCTTCTAATGGTGTGTTTATATTCTTATTAATGTACAAATTAATCTTAATGGGTGGTTAGTTTGCACTATCAAAAATTAACCAAATAATAGTAATTATGATCTGTATGCTCATGCAGAGAAAGTAGAATGAAAATTTACAGAAACTAAAAAAAAATAATAAAAATAAATAATCGACGGGACCTGTAAAAAAAAAAAAAATAATAATAGTAATACATTAAAAGCATTCTGATTTTCCATTATGAAGCAAAAGAAAATCTTTTCTCGCAGAGTCAAGTCTCTTTCTTCTTCCATTCTTTCCTAATTGACTTGCAGAAAGCTAGTAGATGTTTAAATTTGCTGATTAAGTTTTCAACTACATTATGGAAATACAATATTGATTTTCAATTTCTTTGGCGTTAGTATAGTCAATTATAATTATAAAATTTCATGCAAATTTTATCGACCGATACAAAAATTTTTAAATAATTATGTATTTTTCCATTTATTTTGATCACAGTCGGTCTTCAAACAGTCGCAATTTGACGTTTTTGTTATAGTATTAGGATAGATAATCATTTAATTTAATTTTCCTGGAATTATAATTAATTTGAGTAATTTTGTATTTTAAGTTAAAGCATGATTTAGTGGATGGATACAAATATTTAAGTATCTTCTGTACAGCTTGAAGGACAACCTTTTTTTTTTTTTTTTTTTTTTAAAAGTTTAACATTAATTTCTATGGATCTATCTATCTGAAGAGTGGACTAGATGCTCTTTAGCTTAGTTGCTTTGCATAATTCATGCATACAGATATCTTATCTCTTTATGAGGTTATAGGTGTCATTGAAATGCTATGCATGCAGCTTATTCTTCAAAAGAAAAGACATTGAAACAAGAAGGGATATAGAGCTGTTTGTGATAATTAAACTGTGTAACTTTTTGGTGTAAAAATGAAAAAGAAAATTCAAAGCCAACATCACATTCACCTTTTTTTTTTTTTTTTTTTTTCATTTTCTTTTTTTTTTTTTTTTTTTAAGAGAGAGAATTACTCACTATTAGTTCAAGCGGAAAAGTAATCCATCAACATTCGTGGCTACTGAATCCCAATAATATTTGAAACGATTAAACGATAGGACGCTCTAGCTTAGCAATGAGCACCATATTTATGTGTCTTCTAATCCAACGACTTGATTAAATGGAGATGGAGGCTAATAAAAAATACAATCAGGTAAATACAAATATTCCAACTCACTCATATCTCTATATCTTTGACGAAATGAGCAGTATAAAAATACTTTGAGTCTACTTGAGAATGAGTATAGCACCATGAATATGCCGACTCTAATATAAAGTGAAGCACTAAGAGCCAAACTCTTTCGAGCCATAAAGTGAGATGGTGACACATCATGAGAACTAGAACAGCGCGCAAAAATACTTCATGTTTTCAAAACATCCTACTATCGCGTCGTAATATTAGAAAAAGATAGAGGCATCACGTATGGCATAGTCACTCTCCTCAGATGCGTGTAATAGCAGGTGTTACTGCGAATTGTGTAGCTGTAGGCATTTGGCCGCTTTAGCCAAGGCATATCTTCGAAGTCTTGAAAAAGCATAGAAGACTGTAGCACAAAATGAAAAGGATCAAGCCATTTGTTGCGAAGAGAAATTTGTCCTAGCATCCACACGATAGGCTGTGGCCTATTTCACATAAGAGATAAAAGCTAACTTGTCGGTATTATTTTGCTTCAAAACCTGCAGATAAAGAGTTTTAAAAGAAAGGTTAGTAGAAGCTTCCTCCACCCTACACACCTTCCAAACCTCCAACACCTTCCAAACCTCCAACACCTTTGTGCACAATAATAATGCATGATCAACATCCTCCTCCAAATCACAATAAGGGCATATAGTGTCTACATTCACACCCCTTCTGCTCAATCTCCGTTGAGTAGGCAATAAGTTACGCATAGTTTTCCAAATGAAATCTCTGACTTTTGGTGCAATATTCAACTTCCAGATACTCTCCCACCCCTCACCTTCTATACGTTCATCACCCCTTCCCAACACCCTCAAGGCAAGATAGTAACATGATTTAACACTAAAATTACCCCTCTTATCATAATGTCAAATCAGCTCATCCTCCACATATCTTACACTAAGGGGAATATCAAGAATATTATGGATATCTCTCAAAGAAAAAAGATTAATAATCTTTGCCACATCCCATTTTCTCTCCCCCTCCACCAAAAGATCTGTCACCAGGAGATTATTATCAATAAAGAGACTACCATCCTCCACATAAAAGACTCCAGCAATGGGTAACCAAGGGTCCTTCACAACAGCTCAGCAATGGGTAACCAAGGGTCCTCACAACAGAAATACGCACACACATTCACCTTAGGCAACTTGGGAATATATAAAGAGTATCGAAAAGGTTTTAATCTCCCATAATAGTTTTAGCACTTCCAACAAATTACGTTATCTAGGAATAAGTTTTGTTTCACACTTACGAAGATTGAAGTTGCTTTACCAGTCCTAATGAATAGCTTATTGGTAAATTTAGTGTAAGTTTTTGAATGTCCTGCAATCTTAATCAATCAAATTGATGCACTAAAGTAATAATGAATTAGCAAATTATTATTTTAAAAAAATATAATATTTTATGTGGTTTAATCCAACAACTTAGGGAAGTAGGACTTGTGCTTCTCTTTGTCATTGCTGCCAATTGATTGAGCATTAGGGAAATTAGGAACAATAGACACTGCACTATGAAGTATTTGTGTCAAATTGCGTCCCAAATCTTTAATTATTTTTCCTACGTGTTATTATGGGACCCAATTTTTCTTTTTTTGATCTCAGTCCTTTCATACCAAAAATCTTCTAATAGAAAAGATTATAATTTATCTTCTAATAGAAAAAAGTGAGATGCCCTCTATTCACCAATGAAGGTGCATCAAAGAATTTCCAAGGCTAGAGGATATATAATTAATGTTATAATTAATTTAAATGTTTTAACCTTAACCCCTTTTTAGTGTTGTCAAATCTGTGGTCTTAATGATAGCTTAGCAACACACGAACTTTGAAATTAATTTGTTTGCGTAAAAGAGTTGTTCAAGGCGCAAAACATTTTCTCTCCCCCTCCACCAAAAGATCTGTCACCAGGAGATTATTATCAATAAAGAGACTACCATCCTCCACATAAAAGACTCCAGCAATGGGTAACCAAGGGTCCTTCACAACAGAAATACGCACATCACATTCACCTTAGCAACTTGGGAATATATAAAGAGTATCGAAAAGGTTTAATCTCCCATAATAGTTTTTAGCACTTCCAACAAATTACGTTATCTAGGAATCAAGTTTTTGTTTTCACACTTACGAAGATTGAAGTTGCTTACCAGCCTAATGAATAGCTTATTGGTAAATTTAGTGTAAGTTTTGATGCCTGCATCTTAATCAATCAATTGATGCACTAAAGAATAATGATATTAGCAAATTATTATTAAAAAAATATATATTTTTATGTGGTTAATCCAACAACTAGGGAAGTAGGACTTGTGCTTCTCTTTGTCATGCTGCAATTGATTGAGCATAGGGAAATTAGAACAATAGACACTGCACTATGAAGTATTTGGTCAAATTGGTCCAAATCTTTAATTATTTTTCCTACGTGTATTATGGACCCAATTTTTCTTTTTTTGATCTCAGTCCTTCATACCAAAAATCTTCTAATAGAAAAGAATTATAATTTTATCTTCTAATAGAAAAAGTGAGATGCCTCTATTCACCAATGAAGGAGCAGTCAAAGAATTTCCAAGGCTAGAGGATATATAATTAATGTATAATTAATTTAAATGTTTTAACCTTTAACCCCTTTTTAGTGTTGTCAAATCTGTGGTCTTAATGATAGCTTAGCACACACGAACTTTGAATTAATTGTTTGGTAATAAGAGTGTTCAAGGCGCAAAAGAAAGCACTCTCTGGAGTTATGATCTGTAGCAAGTTTGTAGATGCTTAAATTTTTCTGGCCTATCGTAGCAAAAAATAATAAAGAATTGCAATGCAAAAAATAAAAAAATAAAAAATGGAAAATGCATTTCTTTGTTGGTTTCACATTATACTAGTAAAAATTTGTTTTTTAATTATACATTATTGTTAACTTTAATTTCTTTTTTTTAATCAATTCGAGCATTCTTTTATCAAACTTCTGTATTTATTAACGCTTGTTATAAGAAAAAAGCCAAATAAACCGATACACTATTTAAATAGTGAGGAAAAATAATATAATTATTTGAAAATACTGCGACCAAATAGAGACAAATGAATAATCATTTTTGACAAACCAAATAAAAATTGGTTGCTATTTAAACAAATTCAAGGGTGTATCTACTCATATCAAACTCATATATTTGAGAAAAATAAAAATAAATCTTTATAAATTTTACCTTTAATAATATATGAAGAGAGTATGTTTTTTTTTTTTTTTAAAACGGGATCAGACTAAAAACTTATCTTATATATATCGCATTCTCTTTATATGATATATGGAATCATCATACATGTTTTAGAAATTCATCAACAATTAACTTAACTACTTAATCTAAAGAATTAAATCTTAATTAATACTTATTAATTAACATTAGTTTTGTTATTGTGATTTTAAAAATAACAATGACAAAACAAACTAGCAAATGTAGAGAATAGTTGCAAAAAAATGGTGAAGGAAAGACAGAAGCTTTAGAGCAAGTAAACAATAGAAACAGCACGTAGAGTTGTCCC